CAATCAAATCTAGTACCTGAGTGGTGTGATAGTGCCCATCTTAATCCCAGCAATTGGTTGAGGCAAGAAGTCTAGAAGTACAAGCCCAGCTCAAGCAACTTTGTGAAACTCTGTCTCAAAATTTGAAAAAAGGTTGCCTTGCAAGTACAAGGTCCTGAGTTTGATCCCCAGTACCAGAATGGGAAAAAACCAAAAATTTTGAAGGGCCTGGATGTAGCTTACTACACTGTGCTTTCAATCTTCAGAACTGGGGGTGGGGGAAGGCTGGGGATGTAGCTCAGAGGTAAAAGGCATATCTAACATGCCTGGATGAGATCCAATTCCCAGTGCCAAAATAAAACAAAACTAAAACCCTTTCATGATTAAAACAACAACAACACCCAACAAATTAGGAATAGAAGGGAATTTACTAAACCTAATAAAGGGCTACTATGAAAACCCAGTTAAAATCTTACTTAATGGTGAAAGACTAACTGGTCTGCCCCAAAGAAGGCAAAGATGTCTTTTCTCTGTGTGTTATCATAGCTATTCCATACTACAATGAAAGTCCTGGCCAGGAAATTAGGCAAGAAAAACAACAGGCACCCAGATAGATTAGAAAGACTCTCTTTATTCATAGATATAATCTTGTACACAGGAAATTCCAACAAATTCACAATTAAATTATATTTTCCAGTTTATCCTTGCTTGTGGAGGATTTTCCTACTTTACCCAATGAAAGGAACAGTTTGTTTTTCAAGGTACTTTTCTTGGTGATCAAAACAATTATTTAGATGAAAACATTCAAAGATTTCTGAATCCAGTCCCTCCCCAGGAAACATGCATCCAACATAAAAACGGGAGGACATCTTCAGTATATATTTTGGCAGCTGCCGATGAGACTAAAGCTGAATCTCTTACAGACTGTCATGTTAAAGGGTGTCACTCAGAGATTAAGTAAAGGCCATCTTCCTCAATCACAGGGCAAGTAATTAAATACCTTCCATTACATTTTTTAGGTATTTCACCTCTCTCATATGTAATATTGAAGTCACCTGGCTAATAACTGAAGGTTCAAAGTTAAATAAGTACACTGGGGTCCAGGGATTTAGCTTAGTGGTGGTACCAACTGCCTCGCAAGCACAAGGTCCTTAGTTTGATTCCAGGTACCAAAAAAAAGTACACTGGTTCAGAAGTTATTGGACTAGCATAAGCTCAGCCCAAGGTCATCATCAAAGGAGAAATGTTAGGACAGGATCAGAAACTGGCCTTCTTGGGCCAGGGATTTAGCTCAGTGGTTCAGCGGCCTGCCTTGCAAGCGCAAGGACCCGAGTTCAATCCCTGGTACCAAAAAACAAACAAACAAACAACAAAAAAAGAAACTGGCCTTCTTTCTCTATATTTACACCCAGAGTGAGATTCATTCCCACCAAGAAAGGAACCAGATCAAAAAGCAGGTATCAGGAGGCCATAATCCCAACATTAAACACTTGGGAAGCTGAGGCAAAAGGATCACAAGTTTGAAGCCAGCCTAGGCTACAATAAGGAACTCAAGGCCAACTTGGACTACATAGTGAGATCCTATCTCAAAAAAACAAAAAACCAAAAACCAATCAGGGCTCTCCCAAAATACTCATTTCTATGTAGCTCACTCTAAGTGGATTATTTTCCAGAGGTAGCAGATCTCTTTGAATACTGACAAACTTCCGTTCATAGTAAGATAAGTATCTTACAATATTGGAGGAAAAAACCTGAATAGTGATTAGGATCCTGAATTTGAGGTACCCCCTGATATTACAGTGGTACCTCGGGTGGCCAACTCAATTTTCTCTGAGATTCTGCTCCCAAACTGAACTGGATGAGAACTGAATCAAATTTCCCCATAATGGCAACACTGAACCTGAGCAACGAATTTGATTCAGTTCTAGTCCAACTTGGTTTGCAACCAGGATCGTGGAAAGAATCAAGTTCATGGACAGAGGTATCACTGTAATTGACTGTATGATACCAACAAGTTAATTTCCCAATTCTTTTCAATTATAAAGCGAAACCATTAGGATCCTTCCAGCTAACCACAATATTGTTACAAAAGTGAAGCCAGCTATAGTAACCTTACTTTCCACTGAGGCTAGAAAAAGCCTCTCAGTGGAGATTGTTTCACTCTTCCATGGGCAGATAGGCAAAAATGAAACAATAAAAATTTCCTCTTCCTTAGTGAAAAAGGTAGTCTTCTAGCAACACAAGAAATCCAAGGTATTACAGCAAGTGCATTTTCACCCACCTCTCATTTCCCAAGCCATAGAAAGGCAATTTTGAGTAATGTTCAAGGTAGGTTCCTGTAACCTCCAATGAGAGAATTCTCATTCTCAAGGACAGAGAAATCCTAGATTGGCCATGCTGTGATCAGCCCCGCCCAGTCTGATCATTTAGGGCATTCAGTATAACAAACTGTTATTTTGGAATTCTCTGCTCTGGCATGACACTCCAGGGTTCCAGAAGTCTGAGGCAGGAAATGTACTCCCTGCTCTTCTCACTACATAGAGATTCCAAAATAAGCCTACTAACTCATTTTTTTCTAAATGTTTTCAAGTTTGAAAGATGTAAGTCAGCATTTAACTGTATATACCTCCAGAACTAAAAACCTAATCTGCAACTTCCCATTCTTCCCAATCATGATTTTAAGCCCATTTGGAGCATTTCCTACTTTTGTCTGGTGTTCTGTTTTGAACAAAGCACTGCATACAAAACTCTCAAAACCCACAACAGATATGTAACTACATTAATCATATATCTGGAGGTGACCAAGTAACAACTTTAACCTGGCTGTGGGAAATAAAATTACATGTGAGAAAGAGGGAGAGATGTAAGGAGATGAAACAAACCAATAGAGGGCAGAAAATTTCCAAAGAGAAAGGGAAAGTAAGTACAATACACCTAACCAGTACTGAGTTAGCTGTTGAAAAAGAGTGATTATATATACAGTTGCAACAGTGCTAGAGCCCTTGTGTATGAAAAATACAAAGATCAAGCCACGTGTGGTGGTATTTATCTTAAATTCCAAGTCTGTAAACCCAAAACTAGGGAGGCTGAAGCAGATTTGCAACTTCAAGGCCAGCTTGAGTTACATAGTGAGTTCAAGATCAGCTTAAAATACTGTCCTAAAAACAAAAACAAAAAAATCCAAGGATCACTACAATAGGCTCTACCAATAAATAAAGGATAGGCAGGCAGGCAGTAGTGGTTCACACCTGTAAATACCAGCACTCAGGAGAGTTGCCTGGAGGCATAAGGACTGCCTCAAATTCAGAGGCAACCTAGGCTACATATGAGCCCATCTCAAAAACAAAACAAAACAGGGCCCTGGATTCCAACGCCTGACAAGCTCAAGGTCCCAAGTTCAAGCTCAAGGTTCCAAGTTTGATCCCTGGTACACCCCCCCAAAAAAAAAAAAAAGCTGTAGTAAATACAGGCTTACAGGCTAAATATTATAGATAAGACAATGACAAGTATTTAAATCTTTAAAAATACTATCAGCTATGTGTAGGCAGGTTAAGTGATATTTAATCAAGCAGTGGTCTGATATTTGATATTTCCCAAGCATTTTAGGAATGAATCCAGACTATGAGATAGGCTTCTATCTTTAAAGCAGTGTTTAAAGGCTATGCCCTTATTTTGAAAGTATGATAGCCTGCAGTTTGAAATATGCCAAAAGGTTTCCCTCTGTGACTCTTCTCCAGGGAGTAAGATTAATATATAGCTAATGGTTTATTTAGCTTCCTCCCCAAATAAATTACTGCTGTTGTGAGCCCGGGGATTTAGCTCAGTGCTTCCACCACCTGCCTGGCAAGCACAAGGTTCTGAGTGTGATCCCTGGCAACAAAAACAAACAAAAAATTACTGCTGTTGTGTCTGTGACATGTGTTCCAAACTGCTAGAAGCATGGGAATATACTTATCACTGAATTCTGGAATAAGTTATAATCCTTATCCATCACCTTAGAAATACTATCCTTGGCTGGGAATGTGGCTCAGCAGGAACAGCGCTTACCTAGCAAGCATAAGGCCCTAAATTTGATTCCTGGTACCAAAAAACAAAAACAAAAACAAAACCTCCAAACTACCCTTTTCTTAAAAGCTACCAGTTCAAATTGAAAATAACTCTATCTAGAGGATTCTTGTCTGCTGTATTTTCGCATAACTGAAAAGCAAGCTTCAAAATAGGGGCTGGTCTAGATCAGGCTCTATATAGCTCCAGAGCCTTTTCTGGAAGAGTAAACCCCCTCCTGAGGAACTCCACTGTTCTGCAGAGGACCTGTTTCACACTTCCTTCAACCTGGCTCTCCATACAGCGTGACGAACTTTGCCTGCTTGGGTCATTTTAGTCTTACAAGGAAGCCACCTTTCCCCTGGAGTGGTAAGGGTGGATCCTGTCAAGCTCTCTGATTTTTATCCCTCTGTGTTGGCAAGGACTTCCCAGTACTCCACAGGCCTTGCTGTTGTGCAACAGATCCGAGGCTGGCTCAGGCCTTACTGCTAGAGATTGGCTGTAGTACAACTCAGGAGCCCTGCCCACAGGAAAGAGGCTAGCAGTCCTGTAAATTGCAGAGGTTGCCAGACAAGTCCCCACCCTCTATCCAGAGGCCCTCTGCTCAGTCATCCAAAGAAGACAAAGTTCTAAAGTTAAAAAGCAAGCCCGTAGCCTTCACTCAGGCCCTCAAAATCGCCTTCCAGCCTCCGCCCTCTGGAAAATAGCCCGCCTAAGGGACAACCTTTGAGCTTCCTTCACCAGAGACCAATTCTACATGCTTCACCTCTACCCCAGTGTTGCTTGTAAACAGTTCCTGGTCGGGCTTTCAAAAGCAATGCCCAGAACCTCCATATGCACTGCCTGTCCCTACTAGCCCCTTTCCCAGGATCGAGTAATTCCGCTGGACTGGGGTGTCCTGCTTGACAAAGCTCCCTGCGATCAGTCTCCCAAGGCGACCACCACGCTTATGGCTACCGCGCCCTACTCCTCCCCACCCTCGGCTTGGCCACAGCTCGAGCACTCTTGGGGCCTCCTCCAGCAAAGTAAACAATACTGTCAAAGCTGGACAAGGCATTCAGGCCTCTTCCTGGTGTTCTAAAAGCAGCAAAACGTGTCATCACAGTGGCCCACGGCTCATTCCTCTCTCCAACTCCCTTTCTAAGAATGTGGCCCCGAGGACGCTCTACAACAAAAACACCAATGCTCACAAATACACGATTGCAAGACAGAGAGGAAACGCAGGGTGCAGCGGACGCACCCGAGGAGGCGGAGCGGGGATCCGGGACGAGGGTGTGACACGGCCGCGAGGCGGACGACCGGGGCCGCGAGATCGCCAAGTTTCCGAGGGGCGTCGCGGGCTGGGG